AAAGTAGTTCGTGTGCCCGACGCACCGTGAGGCCAGACAAACCCGAATGTGACAGCTTGGAGCAGAGGAAGGGTTACTGCAGGGCCAAGAAAGGAGGGCAGGGCGGCTCACGCCCAAAAAAAACCCCGAGCTCCTGGGAGGGGTTCAGCGAAGCCTATTTAAAGGCTAGGTGAGGGCGGGGCTCGCAGGGGGCGTGGTCAGCTCTGCGTAGTTCTCTGATTGGTTGATGCTGAGGCCCCTGGGCGTCGGGGGCTGGGGGCCAGGTGCGCTCACTCATCAAGGAGTTAATTTCTTCCCTCTGGTGGTGGTTTTTAGCATCTGAAAAACTCAGGACACCTGCATGAGATAACTATTCTCTGGGCCCTTCAGAGAGGAGCTACAGGGGAGGATATGGGGCGGGGTCTGTCCCAAGGAAGACCCCCCCCCAGGGTCCTGCTCGGTTATACCTGGACAGTTCAGGACAGCCAGCATGTTGCCTGCATCACCCATCTGCTGATGAGGAAAGAATGTTCTCTTCACGAAAGGAGCCATGTATTGCTTTTCAAGGATCTCTGCTTTGATTCAGGATGTCCAAAATGGAACGCTTTATTTCCTCTCCTGCTGAAATGCTCAAAGAGACAGAAAGTCTGTAAATACAATGGACGTCCCAAACCAGAGCACAGAGTCAAACATCTTCCCAGACTTAGTTGTGGGAGAATTAAAGAGTACACCATGCTCTCTGACTTAGTAAGTAAGCTGTGGTTAATTTGCAGGTTGTAACTGGAAAGGGTTTTACAGAGGACAAAGCATGGTTTCAGAGCCGCGGTGCTGCTGCATAAAAGGGTAATTATGATAAAGACAGATACATTGTTTAAATGGCTACCACCGATTTCCATAAGTGCTTTTGCTGGGGCCAGTAAGTTGAAGGAGTCAAAAGTCGAAGGTTATCCCAGACTCCCTAACAGCTCAGGCTGGAGCGAATGGCCAAAGGGCATAGACTCCCTTCAGTCAAATCACTTGAGATGATAAGTCTCATTGGCTTTGGAGATTCTATTTGCAAAGCCAATCAACGCAAAGTCCCGCTGTACGTTGAATCTCTGAGCTTTCAAATGGCAACAGTAGCAGATCTTGGGAGGCTGGCGGCTTGTAAGCACCTGCAGTAGGAAGGTCACTGTGCCACTCAGCAAAGACGCCAAGTAGAAAGGAATAATGAAGAAAAATTATTTCTTGTCCCTTGCCCCTCCTCTGAATAATGTTAAGACCAGTGGAGCAAGACAAGTCACCACTTCGGAAAAATGCGTATTTGTTTCTTTCCCTCTCATTTGGATTGAAAACACAGAATGCATACATATTAAACCCAAATATTTGTAAACATAGGAATCTAGCTGGTTTTCCGACGGTTCTAAAGTGTGTGCAAACCAAAAAAAATTGAAAAACCTTCATAAGAGTAAATACCCTTTACCTGTCTTTTATTACTTCCTTTCCCCCAATCTCCTACCCTCCCCAAGAATGTTTGTTTTCTGATCTTCATTTTGGCCGAACTCAGCCGGAAACCAGGAAACCAGGAAACCACGTACAGATACCAAATTGATGATAATGAACCTCTCTAGAATTCAATTTTATCAGGTTTATTTAATTGATCAGAAGTCGTTTAGTGGCAAACCTCAGGGGAAAAAACCCAACTCAAACCAGTCTATGTAACAAGAAATTTATCTTCCATCTGATGTAAATCTATCAATCAATCAATCATCTGTCTGTCTGTCTATCTAGAGGTGTACTGATTCAGGCTTGACAGCATCCAAGTCTCAAACAGTCCTCTTCTATATTCTGTCCCCACCCCCACCTCTACCTCCCTCTCCATATTTCTCTCTTGATTCTACTTTTCCCTTGGTTTTATTCTGTTATGCTCTCTTTCTGTAAAAAACAAAGCCCCAGTGGCTCCAGGCCTATATATTCCTTGAGGTCCACAACGTCCCAGTGGGGGAGACAGTATCTTTCTAACTGACGTTGGCAAACCCAGTACAAAGTGGTGCATGTGTTGGGGGAGATCGTGGCCAGGCAATCTGATTGGAGCCGGCCTGAATGCCTGGCATTGAGCCTATAACAGGACGTTTCCTAAAGTTTTAAAGCGGTCAAATAAAAGACAGAGTCTTTGTTTTAGAAGGATGACTCAGTTGCCAATGTGGAAAATGAATTCGAATTGGAGAAAACCAGAGCCTGGGTGAGGATGTCCTGGCAGAAGGGTTATAAAGATGGACAACAGACCTCAGATGCCTCACTGGGATGACTTAGCCACCAAGTGAATGTGGACAAATGAAGAAAAAGGGGAAATTAAAGACAGTACAGATTTTTTCCATTTTGGATAATGAGGGATAAGGAAGCTGGGTGTGGCTTATTTCCCTTCCAAACACACCCACGACCATATTCCCCGTGCCCGAGCCTCTTCCTGCAATGTGGCCTGGAGGTTCCTTTATTCAAGAGCTCGGGTGGATCTGTGACTTCGGTGGAAGTGACTTCAGAGGCTCCGGCATAAAGGATGATAGAGCTTCTTCCTGTTTCTCTTGGGACACTCACACCTGTAGGAAGCCCAAAGGAGCCCTCACAGGGAAATTATATGGGGTTCCAGCCATCGGACCCAGCTAGAGCCAGCACTGATGGCCAGAAATGTGAGACGGCCAGCCTTCTGACGGTTCCCACCTTCAGTCATCGAGTCACTCTGAGCCTTTGCATCAGAGAGCAGAGACACGCTGCCCTGGCCGTGCTCTTTCCAAATGCTGGACCCGCAGAACTGGAGCGCGCCCAGGGAAGGTCGGCAATGCGGCCTGGCTCCGAGCTGGGGGCGGTGTGCCACAGGGCAGAAAACCAGGCTGGAGCGCCCATCCCTCAACATCGGGTCCTTGTTGGTCGCGCCGCATGAAATCCCCAGCACATTCAGGCTGCCCTGCACGGCCGAGCAAGCTCCTGCAGCCTTGCTGAAAGCCCACAGGCAGAGGACAGCAGTCACACGGCCTCCGTCACCCACAGTCGCAGGTGAGCACTGTGTGGCCCAAGGGCTCGGGGGCAGGGCACCACCACCTCTGGTCAGAGCGCTCACGTGGCCCCAGAAAGATGAACAGGGAAAGCGACGAGCTGGAACACGCTAAATCCAACAAGATGGTCAGCACAGGGCGCTCCGCAGCTCCCAGGGGAGCCTCCAGCCCAGACCGCCGAGGACCAGCCAGCTTTCCCAGCAGAACCGTTAAGCAAGAGCTGTAGCCTCCAAGGCTAAAAACTGGAAACCTCTCCAATAAGCCACACACGCCTCCGGAGAAAAACATTTACAAAGACATCTGTTTTCACGATAGCGATGTGCTGGTGTAAAGATGAAACCCAGGCAGGTTACAACTAACGTCCGACTGCTGCTGGCTTCCCTTTCTAGGAGAGCAGGGGCTCGGCTGCACAGGACTGATCTGATGGCCCGGCTCTCCTTAAGGCGGGGAGGGCTGCCTTTGCTGTTTTGTGGAGTGAAGAGAATGCACTCTTACATGTTCATAACCTGTAAATTCCTGCTTAATTCAAGAAGGTATCATTTTCCAAAATGAAGATAGAGAAGGCAAAATGGAAAAAAAGAAAATGTCAGAGTGTTTGGCTCTACCTGAATGTGATGGCTTTGTTAAATGCTGCTTCGTTAACCCCAAATTCTGACCCCCTATTCACCCAATCTCTGACAATTTCCAAGAGGCTGAACAAACTCCCTTCTGTGTGCACCTTTGTGGGAATGTCTCTCCTCGTGTTTCTGATTCCTTGATACTTCGTGAAGTTTTCATTTAAGTACAACAGAGAAGTACACACATCATTCTCAATGACTGTTACAAATGTACGCACTCAGGTAACCAACACCCAGGTGAGAAAGAAAAAAAAGAATGTAGCCAGAGCTTCGTTCTCGCCTCCAGACACAGCGTCCGCAGAGGTAACCACCCCCCTTGTTTCTGACACAGGCCAGCGTTCCCCGCGCTTCACGGCTGAAAATACACTCTGTGTACAGCCTGGGTCTCCTTTTGCACAGCATTACTCTAGTGAAATTCATCTGTCTTGTGTATACTTGGTTATTTTGATTGTGTGATTTTAACTGCTATGTATTAAATCTTTCTGTTACTGGGAAAAAAAACAGGAGGTGTGTGGTTATCTGACATCCTGACATTCTGCCTCCAACCGAGGGAAGCTTTTATTAGGAAGAAGAGGAAAAAAGAACTTTCTGAAACACACTGCGTTAGGGTCAGTGTTTCCTCCGGAAGTTTGGCAGGAGCGTGGGAAGCAGAGTAAATTAGTCACTCGGAGGGTTTTGTCCTCAGATGTCCTATTCTGAGGTTGAACAATTCCCATTGTAAGGCAGGATTAATGCTGTGACACGGTCCCCGGGTGTGACTCCCTATGACAGATGTAAAAGTTAGATTTTAAGTTCAAAGTATCACCCGTGATGTTGATTTTGCTTGCATGACCAGAGTTTGGGTTCATGGTCTCTGTTAGGGCTGGGAATCTGGGACCAAGGGTATGGGAAAGTTCCTTCCTTGCACAAAATGTCAGTGCCTAAAATATATGCAAAGAGAGAGAGAAAGATAAGCTTTTCTTAAATTTTAAGTATAGTTGGTTTACAATGTTGCATTAATTTCTGGTGTACAGAATAGTGATTCAGTTAACCGTATATATATTCCTTTTCATACTGTTTTTCATTATAGGCCATTATAAGGTATTGAATATAGTTCCCTGTGCTGCACAGTAGGACCTTGCTGTTTATCTATTTTATATCTAGTAGCTAGTATCTGTAAATCCCAAACTCCCCATTTATCCTTTCCTACCCCATCTCCCTGCTGGTAACCATAAGTTTACTGTCTGTGAGTCTGTCTCTGTTTTGTAAATAACTCCATTTGTGTTCTTTTTTTTTTAGATTCCACATATGAGTGATATCAGATGGTATTTTTCTTTCTCTTCCTGGCTTACTTCACTTAGTATGATGATCTCCAGGTCCAGCCATGTTGCTGCAAGAAGCTCTGGACCACTTCATGAATTTGCATGTCATCCTTGCGCAAGGGCCGCGCTCATCTTCTCTGTGTTGTTCCAATTTTAGTACACGTGCTGCCGAAGCGAATGCAAGACAATCTTAACCCCGTGATTCCATCACTAAGTTCCACGACTTTGTAGTAGAACTTGCTCAGAGAGCCGTGGCATGCTGGGTTGAGCCTGCCTCAAGAGGGGAAACAAACTATTTGAAAATGCAGGGCAGAAACACTTGAAATTGCAAAAGCAATTCCTCCAGGAAGTGGACCGTCTCAGGAGACGTGGGCACCCATCGCCCAAGAGGCATAAGCAAGACCTTAGTTTGATCACTAACCAAGTGAGAGCACGGGTCAGTAGCCCAGACCGCGCGTCTTATCTGCCAGCTTTCCTCAATTCGTCTTTGCAAGGAGACCCCAGCTCACCGTAGCCTCCGCGCGTCTCCAGACGACGCTGCGATGTCCTGAAAAGCTAGCATGTTCTTGGGCCAGTTTCATAGCCAGAGCCAGAAGGCAGGGAGGAAATGGAAGTGCCCCTCTGGTCCAGCTGCTTCTGGTACACTGTGTTTCATTGCTGGTGCCCTTTGTCAGGCAGTGACGAACAAAACTGAGCAGCTTTGTGAGTAACCAAGCACAGCAGTGAGCGGCCTCAAGGCGCCCAATAATGATCACTCACATTGATTATGCACTTGTGGCATGCCAGGCCTCCTCTACGGATGAGAGCATCTGCACCTCCCAATAACCCCTGAGATGGTCCCTATTATTACACCTGTATTTTCACACACACGACACTTGGGGAGGAGGATATAACCTAAGTGGCAGAGTGTGTGCTTAGCATGCACAAGGTCCTGGGTTCGATCCCCCATGCCTCCTCCAAAAATAAATAAATAAACCTAATTACCTACCCCCTCCAGAAAGAAAGAAAGAAACTTAGAAATAGTGGGCGACCTGCCAAAGGCTGCAGAGATGGCAGAACTGGCTTTAAATCTTAAGTGGCCTGACTCCGGGCCGGTGTTCACGGCAGCTCACCACATGCCTTGTGGCCGAACAGCTTTACGCCCCCACAGCGGGGACACACTCATACCTGCCTTACGAGGGGGTTTTGAGCCATTTAAATGAGATGAACACGTAAAGTGCTCAGCTGAAGTCTGGACCATTGTAGAGCCCCCAGTAAATGCTGGCTGCTACCATCATTAACAGAAGAGTCGTGAGAGAATGATTCACCTGGAGAACTGAGCAAGGACGAGGTCTCAGAAGTAACGTTCCCGTGGGCGGTGACGGGCAAGGCGGCAGACAGCGCGGTGGGAAAGGCAGTGCTTTAGAACCAGGGCACAGCTGTTTCTTTCTATAACTGGCTTTTGGCAAATCACTTCACCATCTCAAATCTCCTTCTTTGTCTCCGTGATGGAGACAGTAATTGCTACCTTTCAGAATCCATATGAAGGACATGTAAAAAGTGCCCTAAAAATGCCGAGCACATGATGGAAGCCTAGCAGAGGTTAATTTTCCTCTCGACAACCTCGGTGACTCAGGACTAGAGGATGGAATTGTGATCGACCAGCGTTGAGACGGGGTCCAAGAATCATGGTCTGAACGGGCTTCCTCAAGAGAAGGTGCTGGCTCAGTAAATCAGAAGATCTCAGGATCCGTTAACCGTGTTTACAGCCAACAACAGTGACAAAGAAGATGCATCACAGACTCACAGGGTCCTGGGCCCTGGTCTGCTTCTGACCGTCTTTTTGGCTGAGTCTTGTTTCCTCTGAAATTTGAGGTGGTGACGGTTTGTGTGGAGTCTGATGAAGGTTGATCAATTAAAAAAAAAAGAAGGAGAAGAAATTGCAATGATTTCCACCAGCCCTGCTTTTGCAGCGGCAAGTTTCTACCTTCCACAAATCCAACCCCATTTGAGAGTCTTCAGTCTAAGGTCAGAGCATCCGGGTCTCTCATAACGATTAGAAAGGGCTGTCTCGTTAACCCAGTCAAAGGTGAGGACAGAGGCCCCTGAGAGAGATGAAGCAATTCCAGACCCAGCACCGCGGTCCGTGCAGTCCAGGTGAGTGAAATCCATAATTCTAGATTTCCTAGCTCCTAACTGCTCCCTCTTCGGGTTGGAAAAATGCTGTCTCCGTATGATATCCATTATTTCAAGCAGGATTTCTATTCCTGTTCAGGATGTGCATGGAAAGCTGGCAGGAGGTGGAAACGCAGCGGGGCTCCCTGGCGCCTTCCAGAGCCGCACCCGGCCCTCCGCGCCCAGCCCCCGTGGCGCTGGTCTGCCCGGGGCCTGCGAGCCGGGGCTTAGAGGAAGCCCTTCAGGACTGAAAAGGACTTAAGCATCCTGAGATGACAGCCCGCGGTGAGCCTGAGTGCCACTCCTCCAAGGAAAGAGTCCCTCTGCTTCGGCTGCCAACGTGGTCGTGTTTAAGAGAAAGGCTGCCTTCAGGAGCCAAAGTGGGCAGAATTGAAAAGGGATTTGAGGCTGCTGCGCGCGGCTTTGCAGTGAAGGCTGTTATCACTGCCATATGGGGACGGTCTCCTGGGCTCGGCTGGCCTCCAGCAGTGAATGATGGCTCCTGCAGAGGCAGCTCCGTCTCTCTGCCGCTATGACTTGCACACTTGAAGGTGGATGAAGGAGAGGAGCTCCTGAGTGGGAGGAAAAGGGCACCTGCCCCGCCATCCACTGTCAGCCCCTCGCCCCGCCTTCGGTCAGGATGCTTTCCGGCCTGTGATGATGAGGTGAGCGCCCGCACCGCGGGGCTCGGGGTCGGGGGGATGCTGGCTGGCTTGGCTTGGGCGGTGGGGGGCAGGGAGAGGCCACGGGAAGGAGCGTGGGCCCCAGGAAGGTGCCCTTGATCCCAGGTCACGTCAGGGATGTGTCCGTCTGCAGTCTCGTGCGCTGGGATGCCCAGAAGGCTGCAACCCCCTGTCTTTCTTTGGGGTTGTCCTCGCCCCGCATCTCACGTGGACTTCCTGGTCTTGGACAGCCCTTCTCTTTTCATAACTGTTCTTTTTTTTCTTCCTAACATCTCAGTAGAAGTCGAGATTGTTCAAGCTTGCATTTCTCAATTCACATCTCTCACTTTAAGACGGAGAAACCAAGGAGTGTGAGTGACCAGCTGAGCTGCTGACCAAGCCAGGAGCACGAGTCTGGGAGTCCTGACCCTTCTCCAGAGCTCTTCATAAAGCAACCCGCTGCTCCTCCCCTCCCTTCCCC